CCTCTTTTTGCCAATTTACCCAGGCTGTTCACACACTCACACTTACACTCACACGCAAATACTTTTTGTTTCTGAAATGGTTTACAGTGCAGGCTCCGAGGGGGCCACAGATACCCGTGGGCATTGCCCTGGCTGCTTCTGTTTTCCAGCTCCTGCATTATTGACATACCTGACAGTGATGAGCGGGGAAGACCTCCCTGGCCCCTATCCTTTTAGAATTGTACTTGAAGAAGTCACCTCCCCTGCTTCATGCTTGCACGGAAGCCCTAGCTCCATCGCGGTTTCCCTGGTCTCATTAAAGCCCAGGATGAAAGAGTTTACAGAAGGAATGGCACATTCCTCTAAACCTCGGGCCTTTGTTGACTTAGGATGAGAGGGCTTCAAAATATTTATGAAAAAAGGGAATTAAAGATAGTGGCAATTTCTCCATGGATTTTTGAAGCCCCTCGCAGACTTAAGAGAACATTGGCACAAAGGGTGCTTTGGCCTAAGTGACATTTTCTCTTTACCCCATGATATAGGTAAGGTTTATTGTGCCAACCTGGCCAATAAACACATATGGGGTTAATTGAAGGGTGGAGAGATAAATGGCTCGGTAAGCCTCGCCTTTCTAGTTCTCAGGTCTCTTGCTTTGTGGTGCTCAGACCAGGGTGCAGCTGCCTTAGCCATTTCCCTGCTTCAGTTACCAAGGCTCACTTCCTGAAGGACATCGGCAAGGAGAAACCACATGGGCCTACCCCGATGCAGCCCTGGGTGCTAGAGCACCTGTGTGGACCCCTGCCAGCACTGAGATGCTTACACATTCACTGAATCGGCTTTCCTCCTGTAGTTGGCATCGTTGAGTGTGTTTTGTGAGATGGAGGGGGACTTTGTGGCTTGGTGTTGGACATCTGAGTTAATGTTGGACTTGTGGGCTTGGGCAGCACTGGGTAGGGATGTTTTCTTGATGTGCCCTTACCCTTTATATAAAACTCTCTCTTATACATGAATTTCTATGGGTTTGTTTCTCTAATGTACCCAGCCTAACATACCCCAATTATAAGATATGTATTCAGTACCCTCATCTCCAGGTATAGAGAGAGCCCTGGAAGTCATTCAGGCAGACTTTGGAGAAGTTATGTGGCTCAATATCAGACCACTTCTGTGCACAGTGCATATAAAAGTGGTTGACACTATTCTGTATTGAGTGCTCTTTGGTGTGTGAAAAGGATTGAAACTATTGTGAGAAAGTGCAAAACAAGAAAAAAATGTATTCTGATTGTCCCAGAAGCAAAATCACTCAAGCCAAATCAAAGTCACTGCCCTTGATGCCGACTCAGAGACCCTAAAGTACAGGGTAGAAGAGCCCCTGGGCTTCTGAAATAGTAACCCTTTAGGGGGAGCAGAGAGCCCTTCTCTTTCTCTTCCATGGCAGAGCTGGTGGTTTCAAACTGTTGACCTTGTGGTTAGCAGCCCAGTGCCTAACCACTACGCCACCAGGGCTCCTCTCAAGCAACATCCACAGATACTTATGAATAGGGTATTTTCAAAATGGCACGGGGGCAACATCCGACCTCCTCTGGTTCTAGAAACTAATAGAATCCAACTCAAGATCAACCCATTGTCCATTCTGATGCCATCCCTGCCAGAGCACCCTCTATATCTCAGCTGGGTTCAATCATCTGGAATGACACATAGTACTCAGACAATACTCATGACTACGGGGTTTAAAAACTCTTAAACTCACTACCATAAAGCCAATGTTGACCCAACTCACCCCCTGTGGGTTTCTCAGACTGTAATGGTTTGTTTATGTGAGTAGAAAGTCTAGTCTGTCTCCTGCAGAGCTACTGGTGGTTTTGAACTGCTGACCATGTGGACCACAGCCCAATGTATAACCATGGCACCACCAATGCGAGCAGGTTATAATTAAGGCTGCATTTCAAGGAGTCAGGAGCACCCCTCTCTGGTCCATGCCCTCTTACCCATAAGGACCCTTGGCCTCTTCTCTTCTCTGCTCTAGCAATGTTACAAACTTCCTTTAGCCCTACTGACAGATACCCAAAGGGCACCCCACTCTGCCATATGACTCAGTTCTAAGGTACTGGGTTCTAGCTCTCTGGGTCAGCAAGCTTAGCTCCCCCAAGTAACTCCCTGGAGACACCCCATTCCAGAGACATCAGCCTGAGTGGTCTCACAGGTGGGGAGCCCACGGCTCTGCCCTAGGCTCTTGATTCTGCTGCCTCTGCTCCTTTCTTCTGCTCTGGAGTCCCAGCTCTGGGTCCTGGGCTGAGGTGATTCAGTACCGGAATCGTGGGGTCCAACAGGAGTGCTCCTCTCCTGCCTTCTCTTTCTCAATGGTTGTGAGATTCCCCCAACCCTGCTTCTGAAATGCCTCACTTTAAACCTACTGGGATGGCAAATGGCCCAATCCCATCATTAGCTTTTTCTACCTTATTTGGTAGGAGTTAGACGATGGCTACAGAGCCATACCAAGAAAATCACCATGTCACAGATGTCAATTAGCTTAGCCTCTACCAGGGTTTTGTCTTTGTGTCAGAAAAGCTTCCAAAAGTTTGTCAATTTTCCCCAAACTCAAAGCTCTGTTAAAAAAAACCCAACCTTATAAATGTGCTTCTGTAAATGATTGTGGAAGTGTGGATGACATCGGATATTCCCTCAGTGGGGGGCAGATGGTTACCTTAAGATATCTGTGAAGCTTTAGCCTATGTGAATGATCCCATGGGGCTTCACAAAGCTTTGGGGAAATTACCTGTTAATTCCAGTATTCCATGTACATTTTAAATCCCCTTTTGTATGGGTGCCGTAGTCATTGCCATACAGTTCACATTACTGTCCGTAGCTGGACTGGCAAGGTCGGTGAATATTGAATCAGCTGTATCTGAAAAGCACATCGGTTTGGGTGTGGTTTTAGCTTTTTAACTATTTTGCTGTGAGTCGGTGAATGTTTGCAGAGCAGAGTTTCCGTCGAACACTGTGCTCCTTCTTGGGCTCTGTGTTTCCATTCCGAACCCTCGCCTCCCCTCTGAACTCGGTCCTTCATAAATGGGTGACCATTCTAACCTGAGGATGATTTGAGTTCCAGACCTCTGTCAGGTGACTAAGGGCCATCATCACGCAGGTCTCATCACTCTGTGGCCAGTAAGCCTGATCTCCTTTAGTGACAGGCATGTTTTAACTGGGCAGTAGGAAATCCTGGGATTAACTTTGAAGTTGCTATAGGGAATCAGAGTTGGAGAACAGGAAGTCTGCAAAACACTGAACTCCCCTGTGTGCTGTTGTCTCCTGAAGGAATGGCCAAGAGGCCAACTTCAGGCTCACAAGGAATAGCCTTGACCCTCAAGCAAAGTCAATGGTTGAGCCAAGCTGAGAGGTGCTTGTAAGTATGCAAATGAGGTCTCCAGTGAAGAGAATGCTTTTCCTGGATGAGCATTGCAACACCGGTTTTAAGTGGAACGATACCTTATACGTGACTTTTATGGTCTTGATAAAACTTTAAAAAAACAAAAAGTGGTAAATCTGGCTTGACAGTTCATTGATCACAATTTGTTTTGATGGTAAGTTGGGGTGACTAAGCTCTGGGAGAAAACATTGCCTAGGCTTGATGGTGGTGGACCATTGTAGAGAGTGGTTGGTATTTAGATCCCTTGAGTCAAGAAAACCTGTCACAGCTGACTTTTCATAAGAACTTGAAATGTCAAGGCAGAGGTTGGCATGCCATCCAGAGAGCAACAAGGGAGTTGAAGGAGATCTATATACTAAATCATTTGTGTGAAAATCCATGCTACCCCTGAAACGTAGATGGGCAGGTGGAAAAGGGAAGCCCTTACAATTTTTTTACTTTCATTTTTTATCAACAATTTTATTGGGGGGATCTTACAAATTGTATAATGCTCCATCATTCATTTGTGTTAAGAACACTTGTACATATGTTGCCATCAACACTTCCAATTTCTGAGCAGTGATCTTGGGGCTTGTCTCAAAATAGCCAGCCATATCCTTGTTGGATATCTCTGCATATTCAAATTAGACCAATGATTTGTCAAGGAATGCAATGCAAATCTTACTTTTAGCTACTTACCTGCTTCATATGTTTATGTGATTCTCAAATTCATACAGGTCTTCAAATGTTTTAAATACTACAAAATTCTGTATCAGTGTAAGACTCTAGTGCTTTAAACAAAGAGGGACATTCTTGGATATAAAGAAGGTGGAAAGTGACAATAGGCAAAGAAAATTAACTATCTCAACAGCATCTTAGATATTTCCGTTTCCCAAGAGGATCATTTTAAATATCCTACCCAGAAATTCTTCAAAACATAAGGACAACACATTATGTTTATCAAAGAAAAGCTATCAGATTCCAGCGCTGCACTTATGTTCAATTACTATTCAGAATGACTTGGGAATCCGACCTTCAACCTCCTGTATCTTTCCGTCTGTTGGGCAATCATTCACTTAATCAAATCTGGCGTTAATGCACTATTATCTTTGTAGTCCAGGTTTTTCTATGTAATTGTATTTCAAAATGCAAATTGATCTAAAACATGCTGTCAGTCACGAGTCATAGAGACTCCACTTGGGTGGAATAGAACTGGGCTCTGTAGGGCTTGGTCTATTCTCACCCTCCTTTTCCAAATTGCTCCTCTCCCATTAATACAGATTCACAGCCTTCCAAACTTTCAAATTTCCCTAGTCAATTAGATCAGTTGTATAGAATTTTCAGGGTTGTGGCTTGACATTTGGACTGTCCAGGGGAACCTGGAATATCTGAGACAAACAATAATACTAGTTGTTCTAGGAATATTTATTTGCAAATAAAATACACTAAAGGACATGTTAAAAAAGAATGCCAGTCGATGGGACTGGGGGACCTGGATACTCTCTCTTTATTTTTGGTGAATGTGGTTCTTCTTCCGAAGATAGAATTTAACTTGAATGCGTGTCTTCCCTGGGATGTGGGACTCGGCCTGACCTTAGGCATATGTGGTTCCTTTCAGAGCTGGAGGCTGAGGAGTGGTGCAAACACCTCTGCATGGAGTGTCTGGGGACCCGCTTAAACGACATCAGCCTGGGCGAGCCCGACCTGCTGGCAGCTGGGGTGCAGCGTGAGCAGAATGGTGAGTGTGAGCCAGCGAGCACCATCTGTAATTGTGGTGCTTCCAGGATGAACAGGGCCCTAATAGGATTTCAGATAAATTTTGGTGTTTCTTTTCAAGAATAGAGGTTGATCAGTTTGGGTGATTAAATTATTTCGGGACTTTGGGACATAAATTACGGACCAACATTTTCAGGCCTCTGGGAAACTCTTATCCCAGTTGCAGTGCATGCTGCCACCTGGTGGGGGCCTTTATAATTCCCTGAATCTGAAGAAACAGCAATCAACGTTACCTATTCAAGTTTACCTGGGGGCATAGGTGTCCCACATAATTGTTTTAAAACCCATGTTACCTCGAAAACATGGTTCAGCCTTCACTGCAGCATGCCCACCATTACTGAAAACACGTTCTATGAAAAAAAATCAAAAAGTAATTTGGTCTTTATTTTCTGACAAGCTTAAGGGTTGTTCCCAAGATAGTGTAAAACCAGTGAAATGCAAAGGAGAAATCCAAATCTCCTGTCTCGACCACCAAGAAGTGCACTTGCTATACAGAAAATGTGGGGTGTTGTATACCGGCATTCTTTCTTCTTTGAGAATTATGGCAGATTTAGAATCTATATCAACCTGAGGCGTGCTTCTTCTGGGAAGAGTTACGGTACCGGAAACCTACAGACAAGGGCAGTTGGAGCCTGTCTATGCGGATTGCTGTAAGCTGGAGTCAGCTCAATGGCAGTGAGTGAGCTTCGCATTGTTCTCTGAGCCTGCTGGTGAATTCTTGAGGCATTTGGTTGATTGCACAAGTAGGGAAACCCCGTGGGTGGAACCTCAGAATATCCAGTTGAGTTTATGTTCTACTATTTGTTGTCTCCTTCACAGATATGTCAGCTGTCCACTAACCATTTGTGCTTCATCTTCTCTACTTGCCCACCTGTCACAATGAAATGGGACTGCTACCTTTATTATTATGTGTCATTAAGAATGGATGGTGCGCTCAGTTTTTTCCATCTTATTTTAACCTTTTGTATGACTTCTGGATAGTTTAGTGATGCGAACAGTGGACCGTTTCAGTGTTCCTCATGTTAATGGGCAGTGTTTGCTTATGGGGTGATTGGTGCCGAGATGAATTGTTTTAAAAATGGAGTTCTGCAATCAATCCGTGTGTGACAAGCTAGCATGGGGCAGAGTACTTGATGATGACGATCTTGTTGTGATGGACAGAGCGGCGGTCACTGGCCCTCTCTGTCTCGGAGGACATTACAAAGCACTTTTGTTTGCTGCTAAGGCGGGAAAACACCAAGGTGTTTACTGCCCATGTACACAGGACATCAGTACATAGAAAAATTGCCCGCGGTCCGTCGTTTCCAGAAAGTTGCAAACTCTCCAGTGTCTCTGTTTCCAGTCCCACACACTCCCGGGATTTCCATCCAGTGATTTGTGTTCTGAGAGGGGCTCTGGGAATGGACATTCTGTCACTCTGTGTGAAGCGTTTGCCAGATGCTGCACCCAGGCAGCTGGATGAGGGTTGGCTGCCTAAGCTGCTAGGCTCGGACCTTCCACTTTAAAGACTTGTCATCTAATGAGGTTCCCATCCAAAAGGATAAAGCACTCGCTGGACTTGTGAAAGTGGGGATAATATGATGATGGCTGAGTCATGTGCCCAAAGTATAAGGGGACATTCTGAATGCAGGTTTGTTAGGGAAGGACCCACACAGATGCTACTCTTATCAAAACTCAAATTTAAAATAAAAATAATTCTTTCATACATTTTAAAACAGACTAGAATTTTGTCATCAAATGCTATCATTGTTTTAGTCAGATGTTCTTTTTAATCCCGAACATACGCAGAAGGCTCTCTATGTGTTTAGCATAGCGAAAAGATGTGTTTAGCAAATTTCAGAGGAAGTTTTTCAGCTGAGGAAGGTCCCAGAGGCAGACCTTGGAGATAAGGAGGTTTGGTTTCAGACTGGCCCATTGAAGCGAGTCATGTGCTTTTCCCCTTTTCTTTTCCTTCCAGTTTCCCAGTGCATGCGAATTCACTGCCATCCACTTCTCACTCTTGACCTGTAGGACAGGGTGGAGCTGGCCCTGTGAGCTTCCCAGCCTGTAATCTTCACGGGCGTGGAAACCCTCCTCTTTCTCCCTCGGAGTGGCTGGGGGGTTCCAACCACTGCCCTTGTGGGTAACAGCCCACCACATCGCCACTACTCCCTCAGCTCTCGGTTCCACGAGACTAGACTAGAGGAACCATAATCTTAAATAGCCAGAGATATTGTTACCATGTTGACCAAAAAAATCTTTTACAATTTGCTATTGTGCTGTAATGCTAATATGAGGCTGTTGGATGTCCAAATGTATCCAATATGAAATGTTCAGGCAATTTAATTTATCCTGTTCTATTCTACAAGCCCTGGTGGCTAGTAGGTATGCACTAGGTGACTGGCCACAAGGGGTCAGCAGTTCGAAACCACCAGCCTCTCCATGGGAGAAAGCCAGGCTCTGCCCTCCTGTGTGGAGTCACCGTCTTGGCTGCCCACAGGAACTGTCCTACCCTGTCCTGTAAGGTCCCCGTGCATTAGAATCCACTCGATGGCAATGAGGTTTTTTAATCGCAACATAGAAAAGTTATGTTACAATTTTGAAAAAATCTGAAATATGGTAAGAAGGGTCAACATGTTACACCAAGACAGGAAGTATTTGATCATTGGTGCCGACAGCCTCACTCAAATCCTGGGCTGCTTCAAGCGTTCCATTTATAAAGAGCTCAGTGTCTGCAGAGTACAGGCACAGATGACGGGGTGACAGCTCGGGATCAGGAGCAGGCATCACCTGTGTGCTGCACGTTCCTAAGTGCTTGGTGCTTTGTAAGGAATGCCCAGCCTTGCTGCCATCCGAGTTGTTGTTGTTAGTGGACTCGCAGTCAACTCCGACTCGTGGTGAGTCTGTGTGAGAGAGCCACTGTAGCCCGTCCGTGGGGACTCTTAGCTTTCATCTTGATTGAGGAAGCACATACCACCAAGCCTTCTCTTACATGCAACTGCTGAGTGATGAACATTGAGTGCGAGCCATTTTGGCCACCTTTGGGCTTCCCATGCTGATGAAGCGCCGTCGAAGTTTAGGATTTGAAGGGAGCACTTCAGATGAGAGGATCTCATTTCTCTGAGGATCACTGTCCACAAGCGTGAACCTATCTCTCATCACCCAGGTCACTCACTGGTAGCTGTTCCCTCGGAGCCTCTCAAACATGCAGGTCTTTCCTGGACACCTCCTGTTCCAGTGCCGCTAACAGCCCTCCCTGCTCTTCCACAGCCATACCTGGCTCAGGTGTTTTGAAAGAGGCATTTGCACCGTCTGTAAAATGATGGGAGGAGGGTAGGGGCCAGAACCAGTCTGACTTCAGGGGAAAGGGGGGAATGAGAATGAAGGTCATATGAGATCTTAGGGCATATGTCCCAGCCAATTCAGGAGTGCTGGCACCAGCTGCCCTTCCTATGGCAATTCTGTGCTTTTCTTCTTCCGAGGTAGGGAATCCACGGCAGTAATGGCACAGAATTCACGGCAGTAATGGCACAGAATTCACGGACTAATGTTACACTCAGGAGTTTATTAAGAAGGCAGGATCAGGAAGCATGGAGACAAAGTCTTCTTACTTCAAGACAGGGTGGTTCTCCCAGCTCCTCTCGGTGCCCTGAGGGGAGCCCCTCCGAACCCTGCCACCTGTCTCCAGGGACTCTGCCATGGGGTCTCTGCCTACCACTCTCTTCAGTGTCCCAACCCATTGACACCATGACGACTCTTCCCAGAAGCTCCCCGTCTCAGGTTTTCTTCCAGCTGCTGCTTCCCATCCTGCTTCTTTCTAGCTAACAAACCTTTGTCAATTTCGAGGCACAGTGCTCCCACCAGACCAAGCCCTTCTCTGTAGGTGCCCCAAACTTCCGTTGAGTACCAGGTAGCCTACAGACATGCACACTTTATTAGCATAGTAGGCTACAACAACTGACCTCATTTGCAGTGTCTACTGACCGGTCTCTTCCAGGGACATGTCAATCACAGGACAGGCTGAAAACAAAGACCAAATGAAAAGTAACCAACCACAAATTGTTTGAAATTTAAAAATGTCAACCAACCTTGGCCACAGAGACAAGCCCTCTAGAGTAGAAAGGTGAGGCAAAAGGGTTACAGGGGGAAAATCTGCATTTACAAAAACAGAGCAAACGCCTGCAAAGAGAGTTCACTTCATCACAATAGGGGAAAGCAATAAGAAACACTGTGCTTCTGTGGTGTTTCCCATCGCCTCCTGTGGACGTGAAAGTTGGACATTGAATAAGGAAGTCCCAGATGAATCGATGTGTTTGACTTGTGGTGCTGGAGAAGACCATGGAGAATTCCATGGACTGCCAAAAGGACAAACAAATCTGTTTGGAAGAAGTAGGGGCAGCATGCTCCTTAGAAGCAAGGGTGGGGAGACTTCCTCATACATAATACGGACACACAACAGAGACCAGTCCCTGGAGATGAAGATCGTGCTTGGTAGGGAAGAGGGGCAGTGAAAAAGAGGAAGGCGCTCAATGCGATGGAAGGATGCAGTGGCTGCAGCAATTGACTCAAGCACAGGAACAAATGTGAGGTGACACGGGGCCAGGCAGTGTTCCTTGTGTTGTGCAGAGCCCTGCTGGGGGTCGGCACAGACTAGACGACACCTGGCAACCACGTGGGATATTCAGGCATCAGAGCCTATTGCCCATAGTTTAATAATCCCACTGTGTAGCTGCGACTGATCAAGAAAACACACACATGTTCAGATTGGCATGATAACCTAGATTCCTGGATTTTTTTTCTTTTACTTCCTAATCTATAGAGCAGTGGTTCTCACCCTTCCTAATGCCACAACCCTTTAGTAAAGTTCCTCATGTTGTGGTAATCCCCCAACCATAAAATTATTTTCACTGCTGCTTCATAAATGTCATTTTGCTACTGTTATGAATCTTAATGTAAATATCTGAAATTCAGGATGTATTTTCA